GAAGGTACCTACTATTATTAAACAGTGTGTACTTATTTTATTTATGTTTGATATTAAGAAAAATATGCTCGTATTATGGAAGTGATCGCACACAACAACGGCGACCCTTACAGAGTTTTATACCTCACGTATTTGACGGAGTTCTTAGACTACCTCTTTGTGGATAAAAGTAAAACTTTACTCGTGTTTACACTCGACTCGCACACGACTATAGCATTTATATTGGTGTAATAAAACCACTTTTACTGTAAAAGCCACTTTCGATCTACTTACATTTCAATTTAAACTTTGTGTTAGAGGTTTAAGGTTAGATTTCGTATAAGAAAATGAGTTTTCAAACATTAAGGGTATTATAATGCTGTCCGTTACCGTGGATTCGTTTTAATTCGGTCGGTTAATCTGCTAAGAGAATTGATAATCAGATTTTTATCTTTTCTTGTTCACATTTCTTAATTATGGAGTGGCACTATATCTCCTGTGGCTTAAAGAGTAGGTAAGAGAATGGTTTTATGAATATCACGGGTTCTCTTCTTATGTCCTATGGAATTGGCTGAGATATGTCTTACAGATATATTAGTACCTATTCTATAATTTACTTAACTCACGAGTACTCCACTAACTAACAGTTCACTCGGACGTAGGCCTCTCCTTACAAAGGAGGTTTTGGCCAGACGCTGTTGTTTTGCATAATTTGCTGCCATAGTCGGCTCTTACGACACCCACGGGATGAATAGACACAAGGATACATTTTTTTTTTCCTTTTCTTTTCAAGGGGTTGAGCCTTTTCTTTTGGAACGAAGTTCCTTATCGCGCGTTGTGAAAGGGGGCTAGACGGAAAAAAATCGTACGAAAATTTGGAACGACACTATTAATATAATTGACGTCTAACTGTGGATACCATACATTAAATTTGCTTTAACGTTCGCCAACGTCCATACCATGTTGAATACACCGGTTCTCGTCCGATCACCGAAGTTAAGCAACATCGGGCGCGGTTAGTACTTGGATGGGTGACCGCCTGGGAATACCACGTGATGTTGGCTTTTTGCTCTTTATTTTCGTGTCATCTTGTCAGACATTCAGCGCCATCTATCGAATAGATGAATAGAAATCATTTCGCAAGGAGATTTTACCAATGTATAAATTGTTTTAATTGTTTTTAATATGTAGGTAATAGCCGCTTTCATAAATGGCGTTGTAATTAAAATCGTATCAAATCAGTTTTACTCGATCGTCACAACTTCGTTCCTATCGAGTGTCCCACGACACCACACGGCTTTTTTTTTTTAACGTGTGGAAATCCCCTCGGACCGTCACCCCACCGGGGTTTGCGGCGGGGTGGTGTGTCGGACTCGGACCGACTAAAACCACACGGTGTGCCACTCTGCGCCTGTAATAGGAGGGATCCGGGAACAGCTGTTATTAAGACATCCGGACCCCTCCTAGCGCCGGCCCGCTCCTGTTGCGGGGTCCGTCTCAAAATTTTCCTCTCTTTAGGCGACGTCCGGCACACGCGGACGCCGCCCCCTCGCCGCTGGCCAAACTAATGCGGGTGGAGGGGAAACCCACCCCGTCCACCCGCGGCCTTACTCAGGGCGGCATGAGGCGGTGATAAGTGCGCCTCTGCCGCCCGGTTCGCCGGCGGCGGATCGGGTCCGAGTGGAGGTCGTCCTCCCGGGCCTTCTCCGCCGCCTCCTTCTGCTAGATTACTTCCTCGCTGAAGGTTGCGACCGCGGTAAAACAACTGTCGCTACCGGCCATGGAGCGTACTACGGCCGGTAGCGAGAGATCCACTCCGATGACTGCAGTGAGGGCCCGGCGCTGCGTCGCCCATGCGGGGCAGACCGCCAGCGTGTGCTGGGCCGAGTCCTCACTGCAGTCGCAGTGGTGGCAGGCGGGACTCAGTTCCCTCCTAGCGACCGAGTGCAGGTACTTCCCGAAGCAACCGTGCCCGGAAAGCACCTGCGTCAGCCGGAAGGTAAGGGTCCCGTGCTGCCGCCCTGCCCACTCGGCGATGACCGGCTGGAGAGCCTCCACGGCGGCGAAGCCAACGCGTGGAGTCTCCAGCCGGAACGACCAACGAGCCATCGTGGCTCGGCGAGCGGCTTCGCGCCACTCGCGCACGTCTTGGGGCGGAGGGCGAAATCCGCTCTCCGCCCGGGAGTCAGCCACTCGCCGATAAACTTCGGTGAGCACTTCCGCCTCCAAATCGCCCCAAATCGGCCAACGCGCACGCCACCTCCGTCGAAACGGTGCGGTAACCGCGTATGGCTCTGACCGCCATTACCCTCGTGCCCTATTCTGGGCGGTCAGAGCCACCGCCCACACCGGTGCACCGTATAGTGCCATTGACCGGACAACCCCGTGTACAGCCGTCTTGTCGCGACGCTGGGTCCACCCTAATTGGGTAAAAGTCGCCCTAGGGCAGACGCAGCGTCGACCAGGTTTGGAGCAAGCTGTCGGAAGTGCTCGTCGAAGAGCCACCTCCCGTCGAGGATCAGGCCTAGATATTTCATCTGGGCCCGAACCGTTACGAGGACCGAGTTGACCACGATTGATTGATTGATTTTATATAAGTTTAGTTTTTATTAAATTATTTTGCTTAAATAATATTTGACAAAACAGAAGATTGTTGCTATTGTGTGTGTGTTTATCTACGACTTTGGAGTCTACATCGTAGTCTGATCCCAAAGTATTTAACCAGACTGACCAGACGACCTCTGGGTTGGCAGTCAGGTTCACTTGCTACCATCCCAACAGGCCCGTCAAATATATTTTTAGTGTTAAGTAAGAATATTTGTAGTTAACTAAAATGTCGTCAAGGCGCCAGAGAATTTGCTCCAGACACAAATTTAAAAGTAAATTTTAGTTGAGTTGACCCAGAATTGTTTTGTGATTTCTGTCCTGTTTACTCATTACAAAACAATTGATTGATTCATTACAAAACTGTAAATACTCATATTTACAGTTGAAATGCTAGAGAAGATAACTTGAAGACATGCTTTGGAATGTTCCAAGTTTTAAGTCAATCAGAGACTTTGTAGATTAAATCGTAAGTTTTATTTGTAAGATGACTATTTTATGTTTAGTTTATGAAGGTTATGTATATTAAGATAGAGGATCACGTGTATGTCCTACTTCTTTTTTACTATTTTTCTTATAATTAGATGATATCTAGATTGTACCATATGCGTAGATATTTACTACTCATTTTTGCCACAATGACTAAACGGATTCGAATTAAATATGTCACAGAGATCACAGTCTGGAAACGTACATAGACTACTTACAAAAAAAAAGAAAATACCGATATTAACTCAAAGCTGAATGATGATGCAAATCAAGCTGATGAAGGCAAATCATCATGAATAATCTAATCTAACTAAGATGGCCAGTAACAGATGGATATAAAGTTAAGTTTTAAAAAGTTATATTTCTTTAATATTACTGTTTATTTGTACGATTAACAGACATTAGAATAATATAAAAGACAAGAATGATAACAAAAAATTTGATCAAGTAAAAGTCAAGCAGTTACCGTATCGTATTTCTAAATCACCCCAAAGTTGACTGGCAGAGAATTAGCCATTAAATCCAACTTTATTTATTTATTTAGAACAACTTACAAAACATACACTGATACATAGTTTACAAATATGTGCTGAGTGTTGTCTTACTTACAAGTTGCCACGGCATGGTAAAGGACAGTTTCATCTAAGATTATAAAAAGCAAAATCTATAATAATTTACAAAACATACACAACATCATCGAAATTAATTAGAGACAGAGAAAGAAGAAAGCAACTTTGCACAGATGTGTATGAAGTGTTAAATAAATAAATATATAGCTTTGGTTGACCCAAAAAATTAGCATAGACATAACAAAAAATATGAGTCTATAAAACCCAATCCGTTAATAAAAAAGGAAAAATTCAATCGTAAACGCCCTTTGCATGTACCCTCGAGGGTCAGTCGGAGTAATTTAGCGGCACTCTCGAACATACTAAGTTGTTGGGCCGTCTCTAGAGAGATCTTGAAAACCTCCTCTAATGTAATTAATAATTAAATAGAAACTATACGTGATTGCGTGTTTTTAGTCACTTGGGAGACCCAAAATAGTAGAAACGCATTTAAATTTATAATATAAATAACTACATATTTGTAGAGCTACCGTATGTAAAACTGAATATATTATGTCTGCCCTCTTGGTGTGGTTGTTTTTTTTTTATTTTTTTATGGTATAAGGGGGCAAACGAGCAGACGGTTCCTCTGATGGTGAGCAACTTCCGCCGCCCATGGACACCTGCAACTCAAAAGTCACAAGTGCGTTGCTGCCCTGGGAGACCCTCCCGCTTGAAAATAGTGTTATTAGTGCAATTACCACTCAGAACAAATCATTGTGTGATGAGCACGATAACTGAATGTATTTGTAATCTGTATTTGAATGTCATTTATTTATAAAATACGGGAGAGGACGTTATTTTTATAACTTTTAACAATCTTACTGTTAGGTACTAGGATTGCTCCACACGTAACGTAGCCATACTGACATTTTAATATCAGCATCTATATATATATCTTCACATGCAGAGTTCGAAATCGAATGATTGGTCGAGGTCGAATCGAGGTGATTGGTTATTAAATAAAAAAATAAATTTATACTTACCAAACATTTTAATAGTGTATTAGAAGTTTATTGACATAGTTCATGGTTTATTTATTCACAAACAATAACATAATTGTGTTTGAATGTATAACAATTCGCCGTAATACAAAAATATTTAAAAATTAAAACAAAAATATAAATAACATAATAATCCAAAAAAAAAAACAAATAAATTTGATAGATTTTACAATATGTCATGCAGAATACAAAAAAAACAAACGATAAATTATATTAAGGCATTTCATGATTCAAGAATATTATTCACAAATGCAAACAACACAAAAAGAAAATGAAAAAATGCAACATTTCTAGATAAACACATTATTCTAACACTTTATTTAAACTTAAAATCTGATAGTTTCGTAGATGACAGTAAACAGTTCCTCTCTACTGTATGCGGGCCATCTGGAAAATACAAAAATTATATTGATATTGACATAGATGCTTTCATAGATGGCGTTGTAATTAAAATCGTGTCGAATTAGTTTTACTCGATCGTCACAACTTCGTTCCTATCGGGTGTCCCACGACACCACACGGCTTTTTTTTTATGTTATTAAAAATGTTTTTTCCCTTTATTATTTAACCAAAAACTTTGATTGAGGCTTCATCATATTAATGTACATATTGTCCAACTATTCAATCGATATCTATTGGGTAGGGACCTTTAATCACATTGACACAAACTTCATGAGGATCAGTCGAACAGGCAATATGTTATAAATTAATTTTCCTTTTATATTAATGTGATAGAATAAATATATTACATTCTTGATAAAACTCAGTAGTCGGAATGCCACTGTCGAATCGAGCTGCAACTATAGCTTCTCTCAAAGCCAAAGCTATTACTACTGTCATACATATTGGTGGTTCACCGATACCTATAACAAATTAAGGTAACAATTAATAATTAAAAGACTTTCTAAGAGACCCTGAAAAATCAATCAGTCAATGTGAGAATGTTATATAATTGTCTTACATTTGGCTCCGAAAATTGCATCCTCACTGTACGAATTCTTCCTCAGACATACCCTCCAGTCTTGAGGGATATCTCTAGCAAGTGGAACGTAATAGTTCCAAGTGCGATCCGAAAGCAATTCTCCTGTCGGTGCATATACTAAATTTTCACACGTCCAATAACCCAAACCCATCATAAATGCTCCCTCTACCTGGCCAACATCAATTTTTGGATTAACACTTTGTCCAGCATCTTGACATATGTCAACTCTTATGATCTGAAACTGGCCCGTGATCACATCTAATTCTACTTCCGCTAGCGTAACTCCAAATACATTTAACTTGTGCTCTTCATCAGTTCTAGTAAACCCATGTGCTTGTAAGTCCACGTTATCTTTATGTGCTTGTTTTATCAACTCTTCCCAAGTTGGATTTTTCATCTTGTCTCTGATTGGTTTCAGTCTTCTTAAAAGTTCTTCACAAGCTCGTTTTACTCCGACAGATACATTGATTGATGTGACGCTACCACCAGATATACTGGCATTTGGGGCTATGACAGTGTTGTTCTCCTTCACAATAATTTTTTCAACAGGAATCTTAAGTAGGTAAGCGGCTACTTGAACAGCTCTCGTATTTACGCCTTGTCCCATTTCAATACAACCATGGGTTAAAACTACAGTGCCATCACCACGGTAAACAGACAAATTAACGTAGACGTTCATTCCTCCTCCAGGTGACCACCTTAGTAGAGCAAATCTCAAACCTCGCTTTTTCCATCTATTATCAACGTTGTATTGAGTTACATACTCTCTTCTTTTCTTATAGTCGGAACTTATTAAAATATCGTTAACCATGTCTTTGAGATCTCCGTATTGCTCAGAGTCTAAATTCGCTAACCTAACATCCAACGGATCCAAAGATAGCTTGTAAGAAATCTGTTCCATAACCAATTCTGTCATGGCAATGTGTTCCATTGTCCCTATTTTAACAAAAATACATTAGATTTAGTAATCAATAGTAAAGTACTAATTTTATTAAAAACTAAATTATAAAAGTGACAATTTTAATTTTTCAATAATAAAATGATATTTCACAAAACTAAAACAATTAGTCCTAACTAATTCAGAAGGTATGGATATATTCCTAAAATAGCCTAAAATGTAGTATGTGGAAGCAATTTTAGTTGAGACACCTTAGCATGTAGGGTAATGTAGTACTCCCTAAATGCCTATTGTAAAAGGTTTATAACTATAATAAAACAATTTTCAATGCATTACATAAATCATCATCATCATCAGCAACTAACAGTCCACTGCTGGATATAGGACTCACAATGGAGGTTTTTGCCTACTATACCATGATGGCCAGACGGGTTAGTATAGGGTTTGTTTTAAGTTTTCCTTCTTTCAGCTTTGCAGTGCTGTTGTCCTTCAGAGTTTGCTCCCTTAGTCAGCTTTTGAAAACGGGGGAAAAGAGGTGGTAACACTCCGTATTCTTAATCCATAAAAAATATTTTATACATTACATAAATTTTATGATATGTGTTTTGTAGCTGTCGGTGAAAGTTCACTTCTCCTCGTAATAAAGTCGAGTCCGAACTGATTTGGGCATCCCAAATATTCACACGTGAGTAAAACCGTATAACCTTTAAAACTATCGCCGTCAGTAATGTAATTGTATGATGGTGGGGCGATACTTAATTTATATAAACAATATATATTTTATTAAACATCAAAAACGACTTTTAAATTAAAAAGAAAGAAAAGTGAATAACTAAGTGTTTGATCAGTTTTATTTTGATAAAATAAAAATAAGACTTGACTTTAGATTAAGAGCAAAAGTGAAATTTCACCGACACGGAAAAAACACATATCATAAAATTTTAAGTCTAATTTTATCTAATGCATTCAAAATTCAAACAAACTATCTTAATCAACCTTGATCCACTTTGATTATAAAATGTTAACAAATTATACATCTTACCGGGTGCCCTAGCCCAGGTATTTTTAGCAGTATCAGTAAGAGAGTCGTAACTTTTGTAATTCCATCGCTCTTTCTTGTAAGCATTGTTATATATATCCATGCCGAGTTTAGTGAACGTTTCGTTTGTTTTATACCCGTTATCTTCATAAATGTTGTAATCAAGGTATTGAATCACTCCACGATTATCTACACCAGCCTTAAAGGTTACAAATATATCACTTTAATTTACTGAATATTTTGGATTTCATAACATGCATTTATTATTAAATAAGACAAGGGATACCTCAAAATTCATAGCACAAGGAAGCCTCTTGCCGACAGCCCTCATATTTATCGGTAGTGACTGAATAAAACGGCATGGTCTATTCAGTTTAGTTACGGCTAGGGCACTTGCGACCGCCCCTTGTATGCATCTGGACACTTTGAAGCCGTATGCGCCACCACAACGTCGATTATGCACATCAATCCTAAAGTAGATGAAATTAGTAATGAAAGAAGACAAAATAAACAATGTCTTTCGCAATAAGTTTTCTCATGCGTGGCAGAAACGTATGTCATCACTTTATATTTATAAACAGAATTGTTCGACCTGTCCGTCGCGATCTGTCCCGATATGAATGTAAACTAAACCAAAATATTTTTCATACACATAAAACCCAAAGGCTACAAGGTAAAACAGAAAGTAAAACAAAACCATAAATAAAAAAATATACCTAAGATTGAAGAACTTAGGAATGGTAGATGTTTAAAAAGAATATCAAGTTATCGTGTGTTAAAGAGGAAGTAAAACAAAGTGAATAAATATAAGATATTACCACGAAAGCTTTTTCATACCTGTTTTGGTCCATTTTTAAAGCTCTAGATATCATCAACTGTACAGACTCCAACCACTGAGATGCACAATAGACATCTAGTCCTTCTTCAGATGGCCTTATCACACAAGTCAATGTCTCCATAACGAAGTGATACTGTCCGTAAATTGAATTTTCACCCGTGATAGTAAGTTTGATGTCATCACCTTTTTCCTTTGCATTGTCTTCTGAATTAGGTATAGCTCTTGCTTTATTACCAATGGTACGCCTGACGTCCAGTACTGGATCTTGGACATTTGTGTATGTTGCTGTAACTAACTTTGCAGCTTTGTTAGCAATATATCGTTCTTCGGCTACTACTATTGCTATTGGTTGATTAAAATATTGGACATGTCCACTGCACAATACTTCTTCGTTAGCGGAATAAAGAAAAGAATCAGGCGGAGTAAAAGAATTCACCCCCGGGATATCTTTTGCGACGTAGACATCAATGACTCCTGGATGCGCCTGTTATATTTGAATTTACTGTAATTAACATCAAAGAGTTTATATAAACATATTTATACAATTGTCCTTACCAAAGCTTTACTAGTGTCAATCTTTACTATGTCTCCTACGGCGATAGTGCTTAAAGCAAAAGCACAAAATACTTCATCAGAAAATATCGGTAGATCTTCAGTGTAAAATGCTTCTCCCGCACATTGGACCTAAAAATATTTGCCAGCAACCTTTTACAAAAATATGCATATATGGCATAGTAAAATGTTTCATGGCGTTATAATATTGTATATTATATGCTGTATTAGATTAAGGGACGCATGTATAAAATGAATTTATTTGTTGAGGCCAGAAGAAAGAACAAGAAGAAAATATTGAAAAAATAAAACTCTTTATTTCCAACACACACACATGTTTTGGAAATAAAGAGTTTTATTTTTTTAACCGTCTATTATCAAAGCCAGGGATGGATTCAAAATGATTGAAGGTATGTAAACACTATTTTACGATTCAGTTGTAAAATAATTTAAAAAATATATAAAATAATTAAAAGTAAATGTTAATATAAAGTTGTTGCTTGTTTAATAGGTAATAATTTAACTAAGGATCCAAATACTACTTTTGCCCTGACCCGTACTAAAAGATTCTTATTTAAAAAAAAAACTGTATCTATGGAATTACCAAAGCTTCCACTTTTGTGATGGGCTCGTTCAATGGCCATTCCGAAGGTTTGGTGTCGAAGACTTGGTGGGCCCTAGACACCGGGCGATCGTCATCCAGATTTTTTGCTCCAGAAAGATAATAAGGGCTTACTGCGCATTCTGGAGATAATTTAAGTAGACCCTGAAAAACGATTATGCTTTGGACAATGCTAGAATTTCTTACTCATAGCACGAATTCAGTGCGCTTACATCATGATGAAATGTAATAACTAGCAGACTTTATTCCTTAATTGTCTACCCTAAGGGACAGTAATTTGATAAGAACCAAATGAGGAATATACACTCGAAATAAATAATTCCAAATCAGTTCATAAATTATTGTCCGTATGGACGGATTCAGTATAGTGAGTGTCACAACCCCTATTCATCCGTAAGAGCCGAATACAGAAGCAAAATTTAACCACGTACGACAACCGTACTGCAAAGAAAAGGAAAACTTGACACAAAACCTATACCAACCCGTCTGGCTAGCGTAGTATAGTTGGCTAAAACTTCCTTTCTAAGGAGAGAACTATGTCCAGCAGTAGACTATTAACGGCTGTTGATGTGACGTGATGTCATAAATGATTAATTTTCGAGGTCGTGGTTATCTTTGAAACCATGATATATGATATATATTTAATCCGATATGCATGGCATATCGGATTGAATATATATCTATCATAGAACTAGTATATAGCTGCAGAAATTTTAAGAAAAATCCTTCTGCATCAAAGTACATCCACAGTCTACATATTTTGAACAATGTTGCTTACCTTATAGAATAGCCCCAAAGCAACTCTTCTTCTGTAATCCACTGAAGGATTAGGCGGATTATCTACCACTACAAGTTCTTGTTCCATAATTTTCAAAGCTGCTTGGAGTGTTTCATTTGTAAAAAGTTTTTTCCCCTCTAAATATTTTTCAGTGGCACTAGCACGGATAAAGGATGGTGAAAGTGCACCTATAACTATTCTTGCTTGCTTCACTGTGTTGTTGGAACTGCGTAATTTGTACAAAAACCCTGCATTTACCAAAGCATGTGCGTTTTGAGAACGTGGCATAATCTGAAATTACATGATTTTAGTAAGACATCTAAACTGAGGAGGTAGGAAATTTTCCAGAAAATGTATTATGACAAATATACTCTGTTCCTTTAATTCAGTTAAGTCCTAGTTTGAATAAAGGGACTTAACTAAAAAAAAAGACGTGTGGCACTCGGGGACTGCTGCGGTAAAGCTATTGCATAGCATTTTTTATCAACTTATGCAATTATAATTATTTATTAATTTTATTTATGCCGTATTTTTTTTCCTTTGATATTAATTCAAGTTACACTGAGCAGTTTGAGCGTGGTGACCGATAAGAAAACAATTTTTTTTCTTTTATTAAATAAATGAGAAGTTAATATTGTTCAAAATATTTTTATTATCTTACAATACATGTAGGTGCCACCTAGAGGCGAGTTGCTGAACCAAAGAGACAAGCGTGATATTTCAAAAAAGTCATTAAAAGTTCTGCTATTCATCGATAGATGGCAAAACTAAAAAGTATCACCGCTGTGCCGGTCGGGGGTGTTAGGTTATTTTCGTTACGGAATTTCTGGATTCGGTCTCCACGCTCAAGGCCCGCGATAGAAGCTATGCAATAGCTTAATAAATACGTTTAATTTAATAATGGTTAACACTCCCCGTTTCATAACTTTTATTTTATTTTAAAAGAACCTGTACATAACGCTTTCTTTATATCCTCAGGCAACCTATTATACAGTTGTACCGCTTGACCATCTGACTCATGAATTTTACTAGTATGCACCAGTTTAAAGACAATTTATTTTCATAAATTATTTATTAAGTAATAGCAATTATATCTAACTGTTTTACAATGCACAAAATAATTATGTATAATGGGTAAAGGAAACCTTGCTCTGATGACGGTGCACGCCCCGCCACATAGTAAGAATACGCTTTCATTATATATATTGTGTACTAGCTGACCCGGCAAACGTTGTTTTGCCATATATGTCAATTATGTCTAGGAAATAAAAACAGGGGTTGATAGTAGAAGGGTGAAAATTTGAAGTTGTATGTATTTTTAATGCTAAATTATAATAAAAAAAAAATAACACCAAAATAAAAAGTAAAAATTTGGGGCTGGTCACCCTTATCATTTAGGAGTATGGAAAATAGTTCTTGGCCGATTCTCAGACCTACCCGATATGCACACAAAATTTCAAAAAATCGGTCCAGCTGTTTGGTAACAAACACCGCGATACGAGAATTTTATATATGAGATATTCGATGTATATTATATATTCGAAGTATGAATATTGTGATTTTGTTATATTGGATTAATTTTTGACCCCAATCTAAGATACTTACCTTAAATGTTATCAGTTTATAGTCATTGGTGAGTGGTGGTAACATAACATTGCGTATGATGTAACCTTTCATATCTTGCTTGAGAAACTGTTGCATTGTCAGAGTTCGTTTGGAACTGATACTATTTTCTGCAAATACATAAAAATTAATTATCAAGTATACATATGTGCCCATGGACTCCTGGTACACAAGCCACAAGTGGGTTGTTGTCCTTTGAGGTGAAAGTAAGTATAAGAAGAGACATCGTTAAATTATTTTCCCATACGCAATACTTAATGTCCGTGTAGTGACGGATTCAGAATATGGAATGTCACTACCCCAATTCACTTCGTGGGTGTCGTAAGAGCCGACTAAGGCCTCGAAACAACGCAGGACACCAGCACTGCAAAAAGAAGGAAAACTTGACACAAACCCTATACCAACCCGTCTGGCCAGCGTGGTATAGTAGGCCAAAACCTCCTTTCTAAGGAAAGGCCTATGTCCAGCAGTGGACTATTAAAGGCTGTCGATGTGATGTGATGTGAAGCAATACTTACGTATTGTTACTTGAGCACCAATTGTTTCAAACAGCAAAAAAATATCTGATGAAAAAAAATTATGCTGATGCTTGATCATCAAATTTCCTGCTATTGATCCCACCTAAAAGAATATTTTACAGTGAGTGATTCTGTATGTCTATTTTGATTTATTGAAGTGAAAATTCTTTGTGAAAAAAATTGATGAAACGAAAAAGCGACAGTAAAAACAGACAAACATATGTCTATGCTATCACGTGTTTTTGCGCCTGCGTACAACGTAGCCTTCAGAAAACGTGTTTTATTTTTTTTGGATTTGTGTATTAAAATTCGTTGGTTAATTAAGTTATGTTAATTATTCTCTATGTTTTATATCCCTATCGTTTGGCATATCGTTAATATGTTATGAAATGTAATATTTGACATTAAAATTTAAAACATTTTACAAGTTGGTAATAATTATATATAAATAATAAATCTTTTCATTATTCCAGTACTCCTGCTACTCTATATTTATCTCATTCTCTTGGAGGCTACTTTTCTGAAGTTTCACTTCTTCCGTGTGTGAATTGCACACACACACACCTTTTTATTATAATTAATAGACACGCCAACTGCACACCTATGTATACAACATCAGAACCAAAAACAAGGGGTATTGCAGAGTGCATACACAATTTACGCCTACAGATTGACGGAAATTAACTAACAATTAATAAAGTAAAACATTAGACAATCCTAAATATACTAAGAATGAATAAAAAATATAAATTAATGAAGAATGGCGAAGATGTCAATGAAAAAAAAAGGAAAATAAAATTATGAAATATTATATTTCATAGACATAGACATTATACAGTCATACGAGTATATTTGATTTTTGAAGTTTTATAACGATTAATGACAAAATTCTAACCGATCGGGTTTGCCATTTATTTATTATACTTACGAGAAGTAAAAATGCTAGTCACGGGAGAAAGTGATAACTTGTTAATGTTAGAAGTGAATTATGATAAATAATATATCGAAATATATAACACAAGGCCTCTTACGTTTCTCACTGGAATATGCGCCACGTTTTTAATATGTTCATATAATTTTGTCAAATAATCAAAGAATTCTTCGTTGGCTACTTTTTGAAGTATATCTAGAAATTCCGTAAGTGTGGTATTTGCATTTACTATTAGGTTTTGGTCAACGCTATAGCCCTTTAATTCTTGAACTCCTGTTACATCTATAAGGACATGTGGATATTCATCTATGGGGTATACTCCTGAAAATAATTTATTATTACATTTAAAATCTAGATCAAGATTATAAACATATTTGTTTTGTAGACAAACGAGTTTCTCAATGTTTGAGAAACTGTGCCATTTCACATATACACATCAACAGACTTTAATAGTCCACTGCTGGACATAGGCCTCTCCCTCGAAAGGACGTTTTGGGTATTATACCACGCTAGCCAGACGGGTTGGTACAGGGCTTGTGTCAAGTTTTCTTTCTCTCTGCGGTGCTGTTGTTCTGGGCTACTTATCTGGGCGTATTTTTCGGTTGGATTTGGGCCTACACAAGAATTGAAGCCATCCGACCATTGTATCCGTCGTACATTTGCCGATTATGCACTGGAAATAATAGAAGCCGATGACGATTTTCATCGTAAAATCATCTTCTCAGATAAGGACAATTTCTGGCTCAATGGATTTGTTAATAAACAAAATTGTCGCTATTGGAGTGAGTCAAATCGACTTGTGGTTTATGAATAACCATTTCATTCGCAAAAAATAATAGTTTGGTGCGGTTTATGGTACGGTGGAATCATTGGTCCGTACTTCTTTGAAAGTGACGAAGGAAATCCTGTTACTGTGAATGGCGAGCGCTATAACTCGATATTAACCGAATATTTCTTTCCGGAATTTGATGATATTGATGCAGACGACCTTTATTTTCACACACCTGACAATTTTCTTTGGGGTTACGTTAAATCTAAAGTGTACAGCAATAATCCAGCTACAATTCGTGACCTAAAAACCAACATTCGACGAGCGATAGCCGACATACCGGCTGAAATGGTGCACAGCGTCATCGAAAATTGGCGTGAGTCGTGACCGTCTGCAAAAAGAGCCCCGGCGGTCATTTGGCCGATATATTATTTAACACATAAATTGCATAAAATTATCTATCAAATAAATCAATCGGATGCATTTTTCATAAAAAATTGTGTGTTTTATTCAATTCTTAAACCGGTACGTTCTTATTGGTAGGCCCCATACCTACAATAACTTTTTCAATGACTCATCTTAACTCATAGCATGAAATAAAGTCCCTTGCCGTCTTGTTTGTTTAGATTTTTTAAACTTCGCAAAGGCTTTTAATGCGGTTTTTAACAAAACAGAGAGTGATTCAAGTAATGTTTACATTTATATAAATAGTTACATATTATAGTATTATATTATAGCATATTATAGTACAGTTATACCGAGAATTTCAAAGGTTTGTAAAGTGATGTCGTAAAAATTGCACCGGTGCAAAACCGGGTTGAGTCGCTGGTATTAAAAAATTTTCAAGATAATTGCTTTGTCACGACGACCATTACTCGAAAGCGATTTCGAAGAACGTGATATTGAATCGACCTTGGAACTTGGTTTGTGTCAAGTTTCCTTCTCTTTGCAGAGCTGTTGCCCTAAGTAGTTTGCTCCCTTAGTCGGCTCTTACGATACCCACGGGATGAATAGGGGTGATGACACTCCGTATTCTTAATCCGTTACTACACGAAAGCCGGCGGGTCACCTAATGGCATGTAACACCTAAAAAGTGTGAGTTCGGGTTCCTGTAACCTCACTCACTCTTTGGAAATCAACAAAGGCATTCCTTTAAATACCTCGAGACATGCTCTCCTACGCTAATATTTATATATATTGTTCAGTTTATTTAATCTTGTTTCTTGTATTCTGTACAATAATAATAACTTCACACATCTCACACGGCATTCTGATCCCAAACATACTTCAATATATCTAAATACATACAAAGTATAGATTAATTTCACCGACACAGAGAACGAATGATAGTGTTCATCACACAATCGTTCATTGTCCTGAGCGGGAATCGCACTCGTCACCTCTGGCTTAGCAGTAAGGGTCACTATCCACTAGACCAACAGACCCATCAAACAATATAACAACTATTTTTTTGCTTTGAATCGTCTCAACTGTTTTATATTTTCATTGTAAAAAAAAAATACATTAGGAAGACAAAAAAAATTTGTTACCGAAAACACAGATGACGTCATTCAACAACAAAAGACAGCAATAAAATGAAATTAATTACCTCCACTGTCTAAATATGACGCAAAGCGTAAAATACTATAATTCAATTTTATAGTGTTTAATCATAAGAAGTTTCTTATCACGATTTGAAATGGAACCAAGCAGACAAACCGAAGGAATAGACACAGACATATTAAGCGATCACATTTTGCCGAACAATAGTTTTAGTCCTACTTAAGTGTTAGGTTAGTATTGACGTCAACCATGTAGTAAGCTTATTGCCGTCAACCGGGCACATATTACACTTCTAAATACATTCATATTATAGATAAATTACACTAAGACACAGAAAATGATCGCGCCCATCATAAAAGACTTGTCCTATGTGGGAATAAACTCATAAACTCTGACTTCTGATAGACAGGGTCACATATCGTTAGATTAAAAGGCGACGGTGACGGATTAAGAATACGGAGTGTCACCATCCCTATTCATCCCGTGGGTGTCGTAAGAGCCGAATAAGGGAGCAAACTCTGCAGGACAATAGCACTACAAAGAGAAGAAAAAGTTGACACAAACCCTATACCAACCCGTCTGGTTAGAGTGGTATATTTTGCCAAAACCTCCTTTCTAAGGAGAGGTCTGCCCAGCATGCCCAGCAGTGGACTACTAAAGTCTGTTGAAGTAAAGAAGTAGAAATTAATTCTAAAATTTACCCTTAGCAGTGTTTCCGCAGACCAACATATAGGAATCAGTTTCTTTTCTTCTTAAGATTTTAAATATATCCTGAACGGTATTAACTCGGAACCAAAGTTTGTTGTCTTTCAACTTTATCTCTATTTCATTAGCATCGATATCTTCTGCATTTAAAAAACACCAATCGACTGCGTCACAGCTACTCTTGTTACAAGATTCTCCATTTTTTTTGCAAATTTGTAAGTCTTCAAGATCAGGTAACTGAATTTGCTTTGGTGCGTCTTTGGCGAACTTTTTCAATGCCTCTAATATCGGCCTATAGCCTGTACACCGGCAGACATTACTGGCTAAAGACTTTTCTACTTCCAGCATCGTTATATCTGGATTACTTTGTAGGAGGCTGTGAACAAAAGTTGAAATTAACGAAAGCAAATGCAGTAGGCAACATGCTAGTCTTATTTGCATTTCACATGAAAGTAATTTTGGCGATAATAAGGAGGAGAGCCAAGCTTCGTCACAAATAGGCCAGCTCTTGACTTGGCTGGAGTTAAGGAATTCGTTGCTTTTAACCCAGTGGTTGAGGAGTAAAAACCTCCAGATTTTGCAAGGAATGATTTTCCTTGCAAAATCTGGAGGATGGCGGCAACGAGTTTGTGACTTTTGAGTTGCAGATGTCTAGGCGGCGTCCACTTACCATCAGGTGAGCTGGCTGATCGTTTGTCCTCCTACACCATAAGAGAGGATGGTCAAATTATGATCGAAGTGTACCTAGAGCTACCATTTATCAGCAATAAAGTGTCATTGAATTTTTACCACTTTTAATGTTATCCTTACTTTCATAATTATATTATAACAGTCAAAGTGCTCGTCACAAAGTCAGTTGCTCGTCCGTGTGGTGACGGATCAAGAATACAAAGTGTCACCACCCCTATTCATCCCGTGGGTGTCGTAAGAGACGACTAAGGGAGAAAACTACGCAGAACAACAGCAATACAGAGAGAAGGAAAACTTGACACAAACCCTATACCCGTCTGGCCAGCGTGGTATAGTAGGCCAAAACCTCCTTTCTAAGGAGAGGCTTATGTCCAGCAGTGGACTATTGATGATGATGATGATGAGTCAAAGTGAGTTTGTTTGTTCGTTACGCTTTCACGCCTAAACCACTTAACTGATTTTGAAAATTCTGTTACCAATAGAAAGCTACATTATCAGCGGGTAATATATGGTACTTTTACAGCGAAAACTGACATATTAAGAACGTTAGCTTCATTTATAAGTGAATTAATTTCCGTTGGGCCGGTTCCGTGAAATCGTTTTTGTAACGTTTAAATGGTAAAATTTTAGTGCTTTTTAAAACAAGTTGAAAATATAAAGAACAAACCTAAAATTTATATACAGATTAAAGGACAAACCTGTACATAGACATAACCCAAGAAGGCGAGCAATAACCACACTGTGAGCCATTTCCCTCAGCCAGGGTTTTCTGCAGGGGATGATAGCCTTTCTTTCTGTTGCCCACTTCCTCAATCGTCGTGATCTCCCATCCATGACACGACGTAATTGACACCATGCACTATGAAGAAGACAGTTCAGTTAGAAAAAAAAGAAGAAAACAAAAAGGAAATGAGATCCAATCACAAGGATACCGAGTTGACAGCATAACTGGCTCCTGACGGATTCTTGACGTTAACGATACAAGCTCCGCAGCCAGCTTCGCGACACATGTACTTTGTGCCTTTCAGATCAAGGTCATATCTGATGTAGTCCAGGAGAGTAACGTGGGAGCTCACCTCACCACCAACTACAAAAAAATACTTGTGTTATATTTTTAAGGTTAGAAAAAAACTGTTTATGGCTGGTACCTGCGACTTTGTTTGCGTGGAATTTGAAATATAAAAACCCTTCATCTTTATGTATTAATATAGATACAGGATCACGACATTCAAATAATTTACTTTGGAAAAGTATAACCGACTTCAAAGTGGCTAATATATTTATTTTAATTTATTTAATGAACAGGACAAGGACAAAGAAAACTTCAGACAAACCCTATACCAACCCGTCTGGACAGCGTGAAGAGGCCTATGTCCAGCAGTGGCTTTTAAAGGCTGTTGATGAAGGACAACCAACAAAGCATACACCAAAATACATGTTGAAGATGTAATTTTATAGTATAGCCTTAAATAAAGGCTGCCACGGCATGCATTTAATATATTTGTTGGAAATGCAGTTACAAATTCGTCATGAGGAATTACATAAAAAAAATCCATAATTTTAACCCCGGGTGGATGATTATTTTTTTAAATTTAAATAGGGTTTAACGGGAAGTACTCTTTTAAATTAAAAAAAAAAAGATTTTTTCTAACCGTTTTATGAACTGCAGAACCGCAACTAAATTTAGAAATCATAAAAGTGTAATCACAATTCAATCAAATACAAAAAAAGAAAACTTTACCTTTGTAATTTGCTCCGTTGACTTTAAAATTAATTCGCTTCATGTTTGAATAAGGAACACAAAGATGTCCTCCTACATCAACAAAATAAACATAAATATGTTAACTTCTTTACTTTCGAATAACAATTATACTACTTTATAATTAAAACTTACAAGTCATGAAACTGTACTGAAAAGATAATGACACGGGTTTAATTAAAACAAGACCAGTTACGAGTAATGCGAAGTTGTGTTTGTTCGTTTCGCAATTCAACAATGGTTAACATACGAGTACTGTTGACATTTATTTGTTTTTAAGATTCTGTAGTAGTTAGTGGTAAAGTTTAAACGGTAATTAAAGTTTAAGACACTTGACCCTGAATTTTGTTAGAGTGAAGTGTTCTTCCTACAAGTTACATCGTTGGTTTGGTAAATCAGAATTTCACACACACACATATATTTATATGTATTTGTTTTTTAGTCCAAGGGTGTAGAGGATAGGATGGCGGCCTCATTGCAATAAGACGCAATTGGAGCACCACGATGCGATTGAGGGGGGGAAGTGTTTTCACCTGGGATAGGGTCTGATTAGCCATGGTGTTAATTCGGGGAGGACCTGAAAAAACATGGTCTGGGTCCTCCCAGAGGCCGCCCGTACGACTTTACATTGACGTCCCTCAAGTTGGGGTTGATATTTTTTTTACGGAAGGGTTACATTATTATAAGCACACACGCAAAGTTACAACATGCAGAGATGCGTAGTTTTTCAGAAAAAAAATATTGAAATCAATTATTTTTGGAATATTTATGGCAAAAAAAATCTAGCTAACCCGCGCCACTTCGTTTGCGTCTCAAAAAAGTTAATAATTTTCTCCCGTTTTTGCAAATTTTTGATTGATACTCCACTGCTATTGATAGTAGTGATGGTATATAGCCTTGCTAGATAAATGGGCTCTCTAAAACTGAAAGACACTTATAAATTAGACCAGTAGTTCCTGAGATTAGTGTTTGTTTGGCTTCTGTCGCGTGCACTGCGTAAACGGTTAAAATTTCGTAAAAAACATGTAAAACAGAAGTGTTCCCCTGAAGTTTAAAAAAAAAGTTTGCCACATCATATGTCTATCTTTGAAGGTTAACTTACTATAGCCTATTTTATGGTAATCAAATTTGTTCTAAAATAATCCATTATTTGCGAAGGTTTTTTATAAACATAATATTAATCCTTATCCGAATAAATAGAAAATTCATAAAATTGCCCTTTACATTATTTGATTTCAATAAATATATTAGGAGATATGGTTTTAAAATAACTCCATAACTCTATCCATATGATGGTCCATAACTCCATCTCATGGATATTCATATCATGTGCAAGGCGGGTGAAATACCATGCCGCGTGACTCTGACGCGTGGTCGACTCCCCACGGAACGGTTGTGTTCAGCGAATTATTTTTTTCATTTGTTTTTGTGATATATCATCGCATAATACTTTTTTAATAAATTATTTCGTTTTTTTTAGTTTTTTTTTTGTGAATTTCAATATCTGTCCTTAACAAAGTAAGTAAACAGTGGTATCCGAGGGGATTTCGGCACGGAAAAAAAAAGGGTAATTCTTTTAATGTGGATTTGCGATATCTCATCATATCATAAATTTAGTAATGTTTTGATTTTGTTAATTCTACATATTTTTTCAATTATTTCTGTTCTTACATGAAATTCGACATGTACCTATTATGAAAAAAAACTTGATGTTTTTAGGACAATTTTCTATTGGGAATTGTTTGGCTCATTCTTTTAACATTTGTTTTTTTTTATTTAAGTGTTTAAGCATGTATAGAAATAGAATGACCTATTTAAATAATATTTAACCAAGGTTTTTTTCTTAATTATACGGTTAGTTTGTAATAATTATAGCACTGAAGAGTTTGTTTATATATTTGATTGAATTATCTAATCCTTAATCTCAGGGGCTACTGGTTCGAATTGAAAAATTATTTCAGAATTAGATAAAACATTTATCGAGGAAGCTTATGGGCTGTAGGTATAACATCACGCCAAAAGGTGCCGAGCATTAATGAAAAATGTTGCAAAACGGGGATCAATTATTCCTTTTTAGAGACGCAAACGAAGTGGCGCGAGTTAGCTAGTTATATTATTATTATAAAACAAAGAAATTAATAAAAATACTTGCGACACCGAACATAATTATTATCTGCAGTTCACCGTCGACTGAAACTTGTAATTTATTTGTTTACGTCAAACCGGTTATAAAAACTGTAAGGGCCCGGTGATATGAAAACAATTCGTGCCAACTTAAAGATGCCTTTGTTTCAGCAAAATAGACTTTATTTCTTTTAAGTATGCTTTAAATTAGACAGCTGCAAGCATGATGGCTGTTACTAATACTCATTACGACTTATAATTGCTACAATATTGAGTATTTAAACATTAAATTAAAACAGTTTGCACAACTTTTATAAAAAGACTGGAAACGTGAAAGTGTAACAAACAAATTTCATCATCATCATCATCAATAGCCTTTAATAGTCCACTGCTGGACATAGGCCTCTCCTTAGAAAGGAGGTTTTGGCCTACTACACCACGCTGGCCAGACGGGTTGGTATAGGGTTTGTGTCAAGTTTTCCTTTGGTTTAATGTGTGTGTATTTAGGCGATGCTCGACTAGTTTCAAACAAAATTAAGCTCAGAGCGGGGTCCTGGAGACTTAGATCAGGGTGACCGTGGTAGGTGAAGAACACTTAGGTGTGGCCCCGCGCTGCGCTTGTTCCTCCTTATATGTCCCTGTATGGGGTGATGAGGTTAGGGAGGGTAGTTCTGGTGGGAGAGTAGACGGTGCCGCGTGACACTGGTCAGTACTGTCCACTACACTGACAATGTATTGCTCGGTCACCTCGCAGGTTCCTACGACGCTGAGTGTCGTGGGTTCTATCCCCACATGGGATCCACAAATTATTGTTTTGAGTCTACGTGTTCCTTGTATCCGATTTTGAATATTTGTATAGTCCCCCAAGATACAAGATATATTCCTAGTGCGGGAGTTGTCTTTTAAAAAAAAAGAAATAAATTTTAAAAACCGGCTATAAAATAATATTATGTACTAAGTAGCCCTTTATAGGATACTAAAAATGTAAGTTAGTATCTTTTTAAGTCTATTACGATACGCTGAACTTCGATTTTTTACGCGAGGCGACTGCCGTAAGACCCAAGTATTAGGCGATATCGAAGTTCTGTAGAAAGACTCTTGTGTACGACAGGTGTAGGGCAACAACTACCTGTAACGATTGGCACAGATATTCGTATGGCAACTGGAACAGACGGGTTTACTTGCTCTCCGAGGCACGGAGGGGTCTCAATGTGTTAATAAATGGTCACCCATCCATAGACTGATCTGGCATGGATTACTTAACTTTGCAATGTGTTAACCTGCTCGATTACCATTTAGACACGAGCCCTGTGTTATTATTTAGGTAGGTAGGTAGGTAATTAGGTAGGTTACTTTTACCCTTACTATAAGAATCATTTATCATACGTTGCCTAAAACTGAATAGATATCTATTTCTAATGAGTGCATTTGTTTTTACCCCCAACGCAAAATCGACGGGGTGTTATATGTTTGACGTGTCTCTGTGTCTGTCTGTGGCATCGTAGCTTCCGAAACGATGAACCAATTTTGATTTTGTTTTTTTTTTGTTTGAATTAGTCGGGAGTGTTCTAAGCTATGTATGATGAAAATCGGTACAAGATGGCCGCCGCCACAAAATGGCGGATTACATATTTTTTCACAACTTGCTCAATATGGGTATCAAATGAAAGGGCTTGACTATTAGAATACTATTTCACTATGACAAATTTCAAATCCAAGATGTATGTTGGTGTTTTTTAATTTTTTTATTATAATAGATTGCAATTGCATTTTTATGGAAAAGTTTTTAAACACGACAGTACACATAATAACCATTGTTTTAAAAATATGTTAGCTGCAACTAAAGTTCTCTAAAAGTTTTTAGGAGTTACCGACTTCTTTTTATGGACATATTGATTTTTATGGACCGCTCTTGAAAGCTCCCTATGTTATACCCGGGTCTCTAGTCACTGAGTAGGCTCATATCATTCGTTTTCACAGCTCCACAGATTAGGGTTTAAAATGATGATCCGATGGTGGACAATGTAAGGACAGGAGGTTGATAATTGAACGCTTTTTTAATTCAGATCAACATTATTTTAGTGGTAAGTATTATTTTACATTCACAATTTTTTCAACAAAACTTTATACACTAAAAATTCGCTACTCAATTTTGCATTTGATTTCGACGTCCTGCTCACATCCTCTCTCATATCAAATCCTGGGAGCTGTACTGTGCCTGTATGATCGTTCCATATAATGCTACGGGCAGGTTTACACATTAAACTTAAAATCTGTTATACTCGTTGCTGACAGTAAACAGTTCCTTTCCACTGTATGTGGGCCATCTGTAATACATTAAAAAACGTTAGTATTTGCAGAAAAATATTTCAGGTGTTTCTGTAAGATATTTATTATCTAATTTTCTCTTATTAAAGTGTCCAGAGACGGGTTATTATTTTTAATCTACCACATAAATTTGCCACTGCCAGGGTAAAGCGCTTGTTTAATGACAAGTTGAAACTTTCATCGAACTAATAATGTTTCTGGCAAAAAAATCCTGGAAAGGAAATTGTCAGTGATGATAAATCATGGGTTTTGTATTGTTTTATTAATCTTTTATTATTATTACGAGTATTTTATTAAGTTATAATTACGTAAATGATAATGCTTATAACATAGTGATCACCTTCTGGATACCATTGAGTGGTTGGTATACCGGCGTCAAGTCGAGCTGCTACAACAGCTTCTCTCAAAGCGAATGCTATTACTACTGCCATACATATCGGAGGTTCACCAATAGCTGGAAAAGGAAGAATAAAATCATTATATAATGTATTATTTTTATGAAAAAAAAAAGAATTGTGCTAAAATAAAACAAATCTTACATTTAGCCCCAAACACAATGTCATCACTATAAGAATTTTTTCTTAGATATACTCTCCAATCTTGAGGTATGTCTCTAGCCAGTGGAACATAATAGTGCCAAGTGCGATCTGTGAGGTTTTCTCCTGAAGATGCATACACCAGATGTTCAGATGTCCAATAACCCAAACCCATCATGAAAGCTCCTTCTATTTGTCCAATGTCAAGTTCAGGATTAACACTCTGGCCAGCATCTTGACATATATCAACTCTTATGATCTGAAACTGACCGGTGATCACATCCAATTCTACTTCTGCTAGCGTCACACCAAATACTGGAAAACTATAATCTTCATCAGTTCTAGTATATCCATGCGTTTGTAAATCAACATTGTCTGTGTGTGCTTTCTTTATCAACTCCTCCCAAGTCGGATTATTCATCTGGTCTCTTATTGGTTGCAGTCTTCTTAAAAGTTCTTGACAAGCTCGTCTTACACCGACAGTTGCAGTCATAGAAGTAATACTGCCATTAGTTGAGCTCACATTTGGACCTATTACTGTGTTATTTTCTTTGACAATGATTTTTTCAACAGGAATTTTGAGTAGGTGCGCAGCTACTTGAATAGCTCTCGTGTTTATGCCTTGCCCCATTTCAATACCTCCATGAGTTAAAACAACAGTACCATCTCCAGCGTAAACTGATAAGTTGATGCACAAGTTTACTCCTCCCCCGTGTGACCATTTTAATACAGAAAATCTCAAGCCTCGCTTTTTCCATCTATTATCATGGTTATACTGATTTACAAAAGCCCTTCTTTCCTTGTAGTCAGAAATTGAAATAAGATTATTGATCATTTTATTTAAATCACCATTTTGTTCAGTGTCTATGTTAGCTAGTCTGACATCTAGAGGATCTAAAGATAGTTGATAAGCTATCTGTTCTATTACTAATTCAGCCATTGCGATGTGTTCTAGTGAACCTGGTTTAAAAATATATAAATAAAAAAAAAAACTTAACATCAAAGTATTCATGAAGATCACATTTGAGATATATCAAAATTATTCAATCTAATATTCATTGTAGCCAAATATTTTAAAACGACACATTTTGTCGCATTAAATGTTATGTTATTCTATTTATACTAGAGAATACTTACAGGGTGCTCTAGCCCAAGTATTTTTAGCAGTGTCGGTGGTGGAATCGTATACTTTATAGTTCCAACGTTCCCTCTTGTAAGCGTTGCTGTATATTAATCTACCAAGTACAGAAAATGTTTCATTTATTTTATAACCATTGTCTTCATAAATGTTATGATTTATGTACTGGATCTCTCCACCCTTATTTACACCAGCCTATAAAATATAAGGTACTATTATGCAGGTATTTATATATTAATTTTTAAACACCAAAACAAAAGTATCAAACAATGTTACCTCAAAATTCATAGCACAAGGAAGCCTCTTGCCAACAGCTCTCATATTTGTACGCAAAGACTGAATGAACCGACAAGGTCTGTTCAACTTAGTAACGACCAAAGCACTTGCGACTGCCCCTTGGATACATCTTGATATTTTAAAACCGTATGCGCCTCCACAGCGGCGATTGTGTACGTCAATTCTGAAATAATATATCGCTTGCTGTGAAATACAGATTAGAGGTAATTTAAGCAGGTTTTCTGGGAATTACGTTAGTGAGCTTTATAGAAATACATATATTTTAAGGAAATACATTTCTTATTTAAAATTCAATAACGGAGACGAATTATCTCGATTTTCACAGCAATAAATAAATTATAATAAACTCCTTTATTGTTAATACAGAGACTTTATTGCAATTTTAAAACACTATTTACATGAGTTTTTAAAAAGAAATTGGTCCTGCATCATGTAACCAAAATAACGAAACATTAACGAAATATTCTCAAAAATGGTTTTTATTTTGGTTTACAAAGATTTACGTACCTATTTTGGTCCATTTTTAATGCTCTAGATATCATCAACTGAATGCCATCTAACCACTGTGACGCACAATAAACATCTAATCCTTCATCTGAGGGCTTTGTTACACAGCTCAAAGTTTCCATAACAAAATGATACTGGCCATATATTGAGTTATTCCCCTTAATAATATCAGTAACATCGTTGCCTATTTCTGTGGCATCTATTTTATCGCTAAGTGAAGATCTTGTTGGGTTATCTTGCGTATATTTTACATCTATCAATGGATCTTTAACATTTTTGTATGTTGCTGAAACTAACTTGGCAGCACTGTCAGCAATATATCGTGATTCAGCTACGACTATTGCTATAGCTTGATTATAATATTCGACACGTCCGCTGCAAAGTACTTCTTCATCGGAGGAATTAAATGGTGTATCAGAAGGACTAAAGGAATTTAAACCGGGTATGTCTTTTGCTGTATAGACATCTATGACTCCTGGACAAGCCTGAATAATATATTCAATTATTAATATGTAGTAAATTGATATGTTATTATTGTTATAAATCGGATATCACTAGTTTCGATATCTCGAATCAATATGAAAGCTAGATTGACTAATAGAATACTTTTTTTTTGTAAATATGCACATACATATACAAATATTTGCAGATCATACAAAAATTTGGTCTGACCTGGAAATCGAACCCAAACCATAGCACAGCAGTCGCATACGCTACCACTTCACCACCGAGGCAGTCAACCGTGTTTATAACATGTTTTTGGTAAAATTCTGTAATTCTGTCTGTACGTTGGTACTTACCAAAGCTTTAGAGGCATCAATCTTAACTATATCTCCCACAGCAACAGTGCTTAAAGCAAATGCACAAAATACTTCATCACGAAAGGATGGTAGATCTTCAGTGTAAAATGCTTCCCCTGCACATTGAATCTGAAAGGAATATCACTATTGCCACCTTCTTACTTGATTTGAAAACAAAAAAAAAAAACGATAACATTAATAATAATTACCAAAGCTTCAACTTTCGGAATGGGTTGGTTTAAGGGCCACTCCGATGGTTTTGTATAAAATACTTGATTTGCCCGAGATACAGGACGGGTGTCATCCAGATTTATTGCTCCGGAATTATAACATGGGCTTACAGCATGCTGTGGAATTATCTTGAGGAGACCCTGAAAGACAATATAATCAGTGTTTATTATTTTATTGTTCTACAAGAACATACACATTGTTACGGTATAGTAAATATTTAGTCACAAGTAGAACAATAAATTTAGGTAAAACAGACAGACACTTCACATCACATCAACAGCCTTTAGTAGTCCACTGCTGGACATAGAAAGGAGGTTTTGGCCTAGGTACTACACCACGCTGGCCAAACCGGTTGGCATAGGGTTTGTTTCAAGTTTTCCTTCTCTTTGCAGTGTTGTTGTCCTGTGTAGTTTGTTCCCTTAGTCGGCTCTTACGACACCCACGGAATGAATAGGGGTGGTGACACTCCGTACTCTTAATCCTAATAATTAATCTTAATAATCAGTTGTTGGCTCTCAATCAAGTTTTTATCAGAATATATGAAATGCTAGATGTTATAATCAAATAAAAAGCTAATAAATAAACTACTCAAGTTATTTTTAAGACTCAAGCCGTTGTCTGAAAACTGTATACCTAAAACTAGTTGTGTTATACTTTTTCTTCTGTAGAAGACTGCTTACCTTATAGAAGAGTCCCAAAGCAGTTATTCTTCTATAATGTACCGAAGGTTCAGGTGGATTATCTATTACCACAAGTTCTTGTTCCATAATTTTCAAAGCCGCTTGCAGAGTTTCGTCAGTAAAAAGTTTCTTTCCTACTAAATATCTTTCAGTAGAAGTAGCTCGGGTAAAAGATGGTGCAAGAGCTCCAAAAACTATTCTTGCTTCTTTCACGATTTTAAAAGGGCTATATAGTTTATACAGAAATCCAGCATTGATTAAAGCATGGGCGTTTTCAGATCGTGGCATAATCTAAGAAAATATGAAATACATAATAAAAAAAAATGCTCCAGGATTGTATGGAATGTGGAGGACAGCGCCATCTAGTATCGAGTAAAGTACATCTATTTAGATTGTGGTTCATAGTTCTGATCCTTACAGCGCCAGGTGGCGCTGCAAGTAACGGTTGAGTGATTTTGGAATATTCCTGTTTGTTTGTAATAGACTAGCGAATACTAGGGATCTTTCTAGTAAATTCGATAGATCTATAAAAGCGGACCGTGTTTGCCGTTCGAGACAGTATCGTTTTACAACACAGCGAATTAACATCGGAGTGAATTTCTACTGCGACTAACGAGATATATAGTGATTTCTAGTTTATTATAGTAAGTGTTTGCAATTAAGTAATTAACCGACAACTTTAATTTATTGTATACCCCGATCATAACATTATATATATACATATATATATATCTACTGGCTAAGACCTGATAGGAACGATCATGTGTCTCTTGCGTTGAGTCTGTCACAAAAATACGACTAATTTATAAACATTATTTCTAAATATAACTTAATAAGATCAACCTGCGACCACAGGCGGAGCTGAAACGTTGAGTAGTTCTAAAAAACGTTCATAATACCTTTTATGTGATCAAAAATTCATACACAATTAAATCTGAAGTTATTGAGAAGAGTCCAACTAAACATTGAAAGGATTCTAATCGTTACAAAAGTTATATTAAGAATAGGTCACGCACTAATACACGCGCTCATAATGTATGTGTTGTAGGTGTTCCAATAAAAAATAAATAAAAAGCCGTGTGGTGTCGTGGGACACCCGATAGGAACGAAGTTGTGACGATCGAGTAAAACTGATTTGACACGATTTTAATTACAACGCCATCTATGAAAGCGGCTATTACCTACATTTTAAAAACAATTAAAACAATTTATACATTGGTAAAATCTCCTTGCGAAATGATTTCCTATCTATTCGATAGATGGTGCTGAATGTCTGACAAGATGACACGAAAATAAAGAGCAAAAAGCCAACATCACGTGGTGTTCCCAGGCGGTCACCCATCCAAGTACTAACCACGCCCGATGTTGCTTAACTTCGGTGATCGAACGAGAACCGGTGTATTCAACATGGAATGGACGTTGGCGAACGTTAAAGCAAATTTAATGTATGGTATCCACAGTTAGACGTCAATTTATATTAATAAATAAGTGTCGTTCCAAATTTTCGTACGAATTTTTTCCGTCTAGCCCCCTTTCACAACGCGCGATAAATAACTTCGTTCCAATACACACTCACTCCTAATAGTTGCACTCACAGCACCAACAGACAACATTCATATTGACTTTCCATTTTTTATTTTTCACTACCTCTTACCTGTAGCTCCGCCCGCGCGTATATAGGTTATGACGTTAACCTATAACCTGAATTAAGAATCAAAGTATGTTTATCTCCAGTTTTATTAAGATTGTGTCCCTTTGCAGGTATATCAAAGCACACTTTTTTTCCTCATTTTGTTCGGTAACTTAATAAATAAGCCACAAACTAACGTAACAATTGTAACTGTCACAGGAGACAGGTGATCATTTTCACTATAATTCAATTGTTAAAACTTAAGCATTTTTATGTGAAACAATTTCAAAATATATTTGTAAACTATTTATTACGTACTAATAAATGAATGAAATGATACATAGGTAAATGATGTTTGCTGATAAGATTCTGTAACTTGCCGGCCATCTGTAAGTCTGTAAGAAGTGTATCTATCACCGGAAAATAACAGGAACCGCAAATTTATAAATTTCCTAGGAAATTATTTAAACCTGCGTAGGATTCTAAACGAGATTTAAATTGTATTATTTTACGCCCTCATTTTCGCAAATTGATAAACTTACCGAACTCTAGTCCGGTGCTTTCTTCAGTTCCTGAGCCACCTCCTTGGCGAGTCGGCTCTCTCATTACGCTCCAACCCGGTTAGGTTAGGTTTCTTCTCTCGCTTAGAATCCTACGAAGGTTTATAAATTACCTAGGAAATTTATAAATTTGCGGTTCTTGTTATTTTCCGGCGACATATCGTCTATTTCAATAGGCGCTTATAAACTGTGATAATATGTTAACGGTTTTCAGTTGAATGATACGCTTTTTATTTGTCTTCCTAAGTAAATTAACTAATCGACACACAGAGATAAGTTACTACTTACTTTAAAAGTTACTAATTGATAGTCATTAGTAAGTGGTGGTAACATTATATTCCATATAATGTAACCTTTCATATCTTGCCTGAGGAACTGTTGCATTGTCAAGGTTCGCTTGAAACTGAAACTACTTTCTGTAAAAGAAATGTGTAAAGGAATACAGTGATAAATAATAAAAATAGCTTCACATATTTCACACACGCCCGTCTGATCCCAAATTAGGGAGAGCCTGTACTTTGGTAACTATACCGCTGATAAACATAGGTAAATATTTCTAAATACATACATATCACAGATAAATTAAACTCCGACACAGAAAAAATCGTCATGATCGTAGGATAATAATAATAATAAAGAAGAAAGCTTTGAAAAAAAATACGAAATTTAGTTTTTACCATATTTGGATACTACATTGTCTAAATATTATTACTACCTTCAAGAAAAAATTAAAATGTGTTTTAGATTTCAAATTATTCAGTTGGGAAAGTGACCAATTTGATAGGCGCTTAAAGTAAAATAAAGCATGTGATTTTTCTAGAAAATTATGTAATTATTAATTGTATTTTTATTGCATTTAAAAAAAAAACCCTATTTTTCACTTTTTTTATAATTGCAGATTTAGAATTTAAAAAGTTATGTCAAAAAAACTAACATAATTATTTGAAATGGCTGATCGTGCTCATCACACAATTATTTGAGTGAGAATCGAATCCACGACCTGTGGTTTAGCAGTTAGAATCACCAAACACCAGACCAACAGAATTCAATAAAACTATCAGCTTCATGTTTGAAATGTAAAATCTTTCCTCTCGGGCTTGTGTTATTTGTCGAAGTGATTTTGTAAAAAAAGGGAGCAAACTGGGCATGCTTCCTCCTATTGGTCAAATCAAATTTGAGTAAACATGGTACTACAGTTGGCCGTCAAATAGTTTTAAATATATCAAATTTTAATCATCATATGCTACTACTGCCACTCTCACTCTGTTCTTTTGTTTAAAATAAAGAAAATATTCAGATGCATTTTTCTTATTTTTTTTTTGGCATAGCAACAGCATTAACACCGTAATGTAAACATTAAAATTACGTAACAACGAAGCTATTTACAGGTATTTGCATTTCGATTCAAAGTGTGAAACAACAGTTCAAATAACTTACCAACAACAAAAAAAGTACTTTTGATAAAATAACAGAACTTAATATGTTTTTTTTTGAATGATAGAGGGGGTAGATGAGCAGACGGGTCACCTGATGGAAAGTGAACATCGCCGCCCATGAACGTCTGCAACTCAGGAGTCACAAACGCATTGCCGGCCTTTTCGAAAGGAGTACGCTCTTTTCTTGAAGGTTTGAAGGTCGTATCGCTCCGGAATTACCGCAGATGGTAAGCCATTCCAGAGATTGGTTGTGCAGGACAAAAAGTGTCTCTAAGAGCGCACAATTAACTATGTGGGAGGTAATAAGTATGAAAAATTTGCCGTGTGGAAGCAAAAAAAAGAAAAACTGTGATTAAATGATAATTGTGTATGTAATTATAGCAAGTATTACTATAGCTATATACATACGTATAGTTACTTGAGCTCCAACCGTTTCCAACAGCAAAAAAATATCCGAAGCAAAGAAATTGTGTCGATGCTTGATCATTAAGTTTCCAGCTATTGATCCGACCTAGAAACACCGTAGAAAGAACGTAAGAAAACGTAAAAATGTATTTGCGAAACCTTAAATCAACTTTTGTAATATTTTTCTATTGACTTGTAAGGGAAGAGTGAACGAACAGTAATTTTCAGCACATATGAGCCAGATCAATCGGAATGATATTATGGCCTGACAGAATTTTAGTGCTAAGCATTTCTTTTATTGCATTTCAATGAATTGGTGAGGTAACAAGGAATGATTTGTTAGTTAGTCTAAAGCTATATCACAATAAACTATTACAGTAAAAATGAAAAATAATCTATAAAAAATCTTCTTCTTCTTGGATTTGATATGTCTATATTGATATAGTTATGAGTGTGAAATTAATGTATTATAATATTTAGACGAAGCTAATTAAACAAATGAATTGATTAAACAAGGATAATCCTGTATTTAAATTTCATAATACAAGGCGCATGGCATACAAAATTTGCTTCCTTCCGAATCTTTACTATAGAAATAAACTATTTACATCACATCATCACATCAACAGCCTTTAATAGTCCACTGCAAGACATAGGCCTCTCCTTAGAAAGGAGGTTTTGACCATACCGCGCTGGCCAGACGGGATGGTATAGAGCTTGTGTTAAGTTTTCCTTCTCTCTGCAGTGCTGTTGTTCTGCGTAGTTTTCTCCCTTAGTCAGGATGAATAGGGGTGGTGACACTCTGTATTCTCAATCCGTCACCACACGAATTAGAACTATTAGAAAAGTTATATTTATTATTTCTATGTATTTGTGTATCTTATCGTAAGTTATCTTATTTGAATTTTATATATTTATAATTTTATATATCTTATTTGAATTTGAATTTAAAGTTACATATGCACATCGTAACAAATGTCAACTTACATTTCTCACTGCCACATGAGCGACCTTTTTAACATGATCATACAACTTCAATAAATAACTAAAATATTCTTCATTGGCCACTTTTTGTAGTATTTCCAGAAACTCAGTAAGCGTGGTATTTCCATTAACTATCAGGTTTTGGTCTTTTGTATAGCCTTTTAGGTCTTGAACTCCGCTTACGTCGATAAGGACACGAGGGTATTCGAATATAGGATATACTCCTGAAAGATTTGAAAGGATTAATAAATGAACAGGTTTTCAAACCACCAAAGTTTTATTATTGCTAAAATAAAAATAATAATAACTAAAATATTCTTCATTGGCCACTTTTTGTAGTATTTCCAGAAACTCAGTAAGCGTGGTATTTTATCTGCCAAAACTTAATGTGTGATGTACTACATCACACATTAAGTGTTGGCAGATATAGCAATAATAAAACTCTCTATGAGATGAGATTAACTGAACTGTAATTATTTTATGATTAGATATTGTTTTTTTTTTTCTGTAGTATAAATTCTATTTAATTGCATATTTCCTGTTGGTTAGGTTCCGACGCGAATATTTTTTAATAATTACCTTTAGCAGTGTTTCCACAAACCAACATATAGGAATCTGTGCCTTCTCTAATAAATATTTGAAATATCTCTCGAACGGTGTTTACACGAAACCAAAGTTTGTTATCTTTCAATTTTATTTTTATTATATTCCCTGGAATATCTTCATTATTTAGGAAACACCAATCGCTTTCCTCGCAATTACTTTTATTGCAATTTTCTCCAGTATTTTTACAAATTCGTAAATCTTCTATATCGCATAATTGCATTTGATGTGGTGCATCACTTGCGAATTTTTTGAAGGCTTCTAATATTGGCCTATATCCTGTACACCGACATATGTTGCCTGATAGTGACTTTTCTATTTCCAACATTGTTATTTCTGGATTATTTTGCAAAAGACTGAAAAGGACCATCGTAAATTACAATAATATTATTTGATTCACCAACTGTCCTCCATATTTTCACGTTTGTTCGTTACTACTGTTACTGCTCTGTTTCTGAGAGTTATAGCGTGAGGTTTTTTTATAAATATTCAATCCAAAACAAAAAGAATTATTGAATTTCATTGACAGGCAATAGATTATCGCTCTCAAAGAAAACGAAGAATCAGAAAAACTTTTAAACTTTATTTTCGTAATGTTCATATGGCGACGGGCTAAAAATACGGAGTGTCACCACCTGTTCATCTTGTGGGTGTCGTAACAGCCGACTAAATGAGCAAACTAAGCAGAAAAACAGCTTTTACGATATCAACAACTGACCTTAATATTCCACTGCTAGACCTAGGCCTCTCCTTAGAAAGGAGGTTTTGGCCTTATATATCAAACTGGTCAGACGGGAATATAGGGTTTATATCAAGTTTTCCTTCTCTTTGCATTGCTGTTGCCCCGCGTAGCTTCTTCCCTTAATCGGTTCTTACGACACCAAGGGGATAAATAGGGGTTGTGACACACTGCATTCTTCGTCACCACACGGATTTTTTTAATTATTTACCTGTACATGGACATAACCCAAGCAGGCGAGCAATACCCACACTGTGATCCATTTTCCTTGGCCAGAGTGGTTTGCAGAGGATGGTAGCCCTTTTTCCTATTTCCTACCTCCTCAATCGTTGTGATATCCCACCCATGACAAGATGTGATTGATGTCATGCACTGTTAAAGAAAATATGTGTATATTGGTACTGGTGTAAATTGGTACTACACCGACGCCATTGATTTGCGTAACTAATAGCTGTAACGAAATGAAACTATAGATACTTAGAAATCTTGGGGCTGATGTTAGCGTGGACAGTAGAACTCTTTAGTGGGTAAAACCCCCAGAGTTTTCGCTCGTACTCGTATGATATATTTTTTCAAATCCAACAGATATTGCTTAGTGAAGATTGTCTGACGAAACTAGAGGTGGTGAGGAGGATGTGAAAATGGTGGAATTTATTTTAGTTCTTACTAGTTTGGCATGAAGTGATTCATTATATTATTTTTGGTTTTGACAACGAACTATGAACTTTCAATGAACTATGTTAAGACTTTCAAATCTCCAGTCCCACGAAAAGCTTTTGTAGGCTAATTAGTAAATGAGAATAGTAGATACCGAGTTGACAGCATAGGACCGTGCTATTGGATACTTCACATTGACGATGCAGGCTCCGCAGCCAGCTTCACGACACATGTATTTGGTCCCCTTGAGGTCCAGGTCATTTCTGATGTAGTCCAGAAGTGTCACGAACGAGCTAACCTCGCATCCAACTGAAAAAAAACACGCGTAATCGATGGAAAACGGGACCTTATAAAAGGTGTTTTTTTTTGAGTTCTCTTGTTTTTTTTCCTTCGACATTTTGATTTTGAAGTTTTTAAGCTAAGTGGTATCCGAGAGTGCCGTAAGCTCATTAAACCGTTATTATCGGGTTGCCATACGAACATTATACAGGACTAATTTATTTAATAATATGAGTTATTTTTATTACAGAATATCGCCTAGTACTTGGGTTGAGGAGGTCTGATGGGAGTCGCTCCACAAAAAAATCGAAGTTCAGCAGTTATGATTTTAAAGTTCGCTGGTTTTGTGTGTTTATAAGTATAATCTAGTTAAGTCAGTAAGTTCATTTTGTTGTATTTTAAGTTAAATGTTTAGTTGTTACTAAACCCAACAAATATATTTGGTTTCTTAGCTCCCCTATCCCTTCTTAGCAGTCTTTATTTTACCTTAAATATTCCCATTTTCAATTCCCAATGTGGTAGGCTGATTGCAAAAGTTTGGCCCCCTTTTACATGAGTGGAACGAAATTTTAGTTTGCAAAGTATGGGCGTTTGGTCTGCCCAATCTGTCATTGACAATGTCTACGAGTAGAATGTACATAATTATGTAGTTACAAAATTCGACGATGTAATTATGGAATACTTAAATATTTCCTGAAGTTTTTAAATGAACGCTTAAACACAATTGTCTATGTGAGTGCTACTGTTTTTAGTTTTTACATGTTATAATAACTATGTATTTGTTATCATATTTAATTATCACTATTTGGATTCTGCACGGATAGCGTAGTGGTTTCAGCGGTCGCCACGCCGCTCCCTACTATGCTGAGTTTTGTGGGTTCGATCTTCAAATGTGTGATCACACAAAGTGTCATCCACACTTTGTGTGATCCACAAATTGTTGTTCTGAATCTGGTTGTTCTTTGTGTCCGTTTCATGTATGTTTTTAAAGTCCCTCGCGACACAGGTTACATTCTTAACGCGGAAGTTGTCTTTAAAAAAAAAGAAAGAAAAAAAAAGAATTTCAATTTATTTAAATATACTTAATTTTATATTAATAATTATTACTTCGCATAGTAAGCACTTATTAATCAAGGAGGAGCTATACAAAAATATTAAAAAAGTCAACTCCAAGTCGTTGTTAAATATTGCAGTATCTTAATTAACTTTGCAATTATTTCAAGATTTCACTTCACCAAGGGCAATCTTATAAGTACTTGTAATTCCATATCTATTATTATATTAATTGCTTTAAAAGGTTTCCAATTACGAGCTCTTGAGAACTCAAAGGATAGCCAATACATAAATAGTATATTACGTGTAATTCACGGACATAGCAGAGCGAGAGGCGAACTTTCTGTCAACACCGAAGTATATGAATTTAACCTTAACCTATTAATGTAGAAGAAATCAACAATTCCTTCTGTTACTTTCCCGTTTTATTATCTTGCTTTGTCCTTAAACTTTCAACTTCAACTCCCAATAGACCCAATTGTCTGTAAAAGAGTCGCCGTGAGTAGCAAAATATAATTGACAAAATGTATGAGTCAAGTACAAGACTTATGGGGATAAGAAAGGAATTACATATTTACTGAGTGTTAATTATGAAAATTGTAGTTTGCTTGCAATGTGCAAGGTCTATGATACTTAGTGAAGTTTGCAGTGCTGTTGTTCTGCGTAGTTTGTTCTCTAGGGAGGGAGCAAACTATGCAGGAGAAAAGCATTGCAAAGAGAAGGAAAACTTGACACAAACCCTATGCCAACTCAGTCTGGCCAGCGTGGTATAGTAACCCAAAACCTTCTTTCTTAGGCGAGACCTATGTCCAGCAGTAGACTGTTATATATATTACGTGAATGGGAATAAAAAAATTAGGCGACACAATGTGGACATTTAATTCCCCTCTGTCTATCCCTTCAAGGATAAAGAAGTGAGTGATTTTATCTATATTTGAATGATGGCAAACAGTATTAAAAAAATTATTTTCATATATGAATAAACTGTAGAAACAAACTATTACAAGTCACCACCCAGGAATATCTGTGATGAGAACTATCATTTGTTCGGTGTATGCGTGTAATTTATCTAAAATATATATGTATTTAGAAATATTTTAAGTATGTTTATCGGCAGTCTGGTTTTTATGCTGCAGGCTCTGCCCGGTTTGGTAAGCAAACGTAAACATACTAAAGAAATATACTGATACTACACAAATTTAATTACGGTTTTATCTGTAGTCGTGATTACTGACGATTTTTTAACGTTGCTTTGTATTAACGGTATTTTGATAAATAGTGCTTGCGTTACCTGGACACCTAGTTTAGACAATTACCTATTATTCTGTATACAACAGCATAAAGAAAATATATTAATGAAAAATATTTATTGATGCAATGTGGAAACAGAACAGAGAGTTAAATTTTTAAACCATAAATACGCTATAAAGTTCAAAATTGTGTGAAAATGGCTACATAAAACTACACAGGTGTAGTATCATTTTGACCAGTCGTTTACGAAAGTATGTATAATGAGAGTTCAAATAATATTGGTCAAAGAAAAGAACAAGATATTCGAAACAGTCGAAATTCGACCGCCAAGCTATCTACCACGGCAAATTCACCTCGAAGTATGTAAAGCCTGATCTATGGTAACCAGACTGCAGTTAAACATACCTACTAATAACTCAGCTTACAGACAAATTATACCCAGACATAATTATTGTTTATCTTCATTATGAAAATGTAATGCCAGAGTGGGATTCTGACCCACAGTCATTCTCTAAACTGTCAGAATCACTAGCCATAACACGACAGTCACGAATAAGAAAAAAATATTAATAACATTTTTGCAACAATATATAATATAACTTATAATATGAAACCTAAAAATGAAATTCGTATGGTGACGGATGAAGAATACGGAGTGTCACCATTTCTATTGATCCCGATGGTGCCGTAAAAGCCGACTGAGGGAGCAATCTGCGCAGGACATCAGCATTGCAAAGAGAAGGAAAACTTGACGCAAACCTTATACCAAAACGTCTGGTCAGCGTGGTATAGTAGGTCAAAACCTCTTTTCTAATTAGAGGCCTATATAAAGCAGTGGACTATTAAAGGCTATTGATGTGAATATGAAATTATTAATACAAATGTAAACATTACACAGCGCGTAAATCAAACTATTGACGCTTCAATCAACTTAATTTTTATGCCAAACAGAACGTATTCAATTCAAAAATTTTCAAAATTTTCGTTTATTTTTGTATTATTTAATATTACTGTTTAAACGTACCCTTAGGTACTACATTTGTACACTAACATTTTCAAATCCTGATTTTAAATTAATAATAATTAAGTTAAGTATAATAATTAACTTAATTTTAATAACTAAGGTAGTTAAAATAATTTTAATTAAGTTAATTATTTAATTAATTAGAATATTTTTGTACTAATAAATAAATTATTGAAAAATTTACCTGAATGCTCTATTCCATTGATTTTAAATTTAATTCGATCCATGTTTGTACACGAGTACTTCTCCGTCCAGCTCTTTCCATACACTGGTGTAATGTATCAACCCGCCTTTAACTGTTATATACATCTTATACATAGTTTACTATACAAACATAGCTTATAGTATAATCTTTAATCTGCCTTATACTGTTTGTTTGTCCATCACAGTGAATGGGTGAACTATTCTATAAACTATAAACAGGAATAAAAGTTAGATTGTTAGAATTTACTAAGTAACCAATGATTTTTAAATTTTACATATAAAGTTTCAAGCTACGTATTTCGTATGGAAACATGTGAAGTGGTATATCGGAATCGAACCAACTAGCCACACAGACTAACACAAATGTGTCTACTGCAAGGGAATTGGTTACATTACGTTACGTTACATACGGACTCTTGAGTCAAGGGCAGTAAAAGCTGATATGTCTGGTATTCTTATTTATAAAATACTAGTTGACCCTGCAAACGTAGTTTTGCTATTTACATTATTTAAACATTTTTTTTCTTTTTTTTTTGAATTTCTTAAAATCCGTTTTTAGCTGACCTCTACTCGGTGAAAAGAATATTCCTACCAAATTTCAAGTCTTTAGCTCTAATTGTTCCAGAGATATCGTGATGAGTGACTATATACGTGGAAATCTCTTATATAAATATAGATAAATGGTTGAACTCAAATCCACCTAGTATAAATAGATGTGTGGTGAGCACTACTATTTGTTCTATGTATCATCATCAGCCTATCGCAGTCCTATCTGCTGGACATAGGCCTCTCCCATTGCACGGCACTTAGATCGATTTTGGGCTTCTCGCATCCAGCTCCTGCCAGCCATCTTGCGCAAATCGCCACTTCAACTAACCTAAGTGAATGTACTGTCATTTCTATGTATGGATTAAGATATATATATTTATCTGCAGTCTGGTTACAATAGTACAGGCTCTGTCTAGTTTGGAATCAGACTGCCGTGTGTGAGGACTGTGAATGGTAATATTCTCATCCAAAACACATTATGACCACAAATGTGTAATTATTGGAAGTGGATTAATTTTCGTTTTCAAATTTGGTATGAAGTGAGCAAAATACGACTACAGGGATGGCGTAGTGGTTTAAGTGGTCGCCACGCCGCTCACTACTACGCTAAGTGTTGTGGGTCTGATCCCCACATGGGACGACACTTTGTGTGATCCACAAATTGATGTTCTGAGTCTGGGTGTTCTTTATGTCCGTTTCATGTATATTTTTAAAGTCCCCCGCGACACAGGACATACGAGTATATCTAATGCGGGAGTTATCTTTTAAAGAAAAGAGAAAGACAAAAATAATTTATTTATGAAGTTAGTTATAAGTTTATTAAAAGCGCGTTAACCATATAGAGACAGGTAAAGTGACCATAAATAATATTTTTTAGGAGATTGATAAGGCTGCCCTGGCGATGCAGTGCCTCGGGAATGTTCGCGGATGCAAGAGTTGACTGCTTTTACTTCACGATATGTAAACAAGCAACGTCATTCTTGTCGCGGGTAAGGGGCAGCTTCAACAGGGTCCTAGCCATAATAGCCGACAGAATG